CAACTTTGAAATTAAGGGCTTTACATAATAATTTCTAAAAGACAAGAGCACTGAACAAAAAAACAAAAAAGAAGCGGGTTTAAACACACAAAACTTCACAGATTAAAAAAAAGTCACTATTTACAATTTTTAATAATATTCAAAAGGCCAATTAAATTGATTCAGAAGCACAAGTTAAAGAATGAGAGGGACAGAAAAAAAATTGCGAGAGAAAGAAAGAGGCTGGTATCAAATTGAGAGGGGTAGACAAAATAAGAGGGAGTACATAAGAAAATAAAGCGTACAAGATGAACATGAACAGATTCAGAACTACAGATTTAGAGAGAAGAAGAATTCAGGACTTTTCCTTTTTCTTCCTTGCCTGCAAATCTCAGCAGTGCGTCACTCCTTATTAAAACATTCATTTTGCTTCTCACATCAGTCGGCACTCGGGCGCACAGGCTACGTTTTTACATCAAACAATTCAGCACGTACAAAAGAAACCACACATACACGCACACACAACCTGCGAACCAGGAACACACGGGTCATTCAGTACATGGAAACACCATTCTTGTCAGGATGTCTCAGCCGTATGAAGTCAACCCAAGCGTAAGCAACCCGCCAATACTTTTCTTCAGAGCATCATTAAACTCATTTCTTTTATTTACTCACAAAAAAAGGAAAATGCAAATCCTGCACACAATGCAGATGCTGCAAAGATTTCAGTCCTGTTTAAAAGGTTCTTGATTGTTATGTGTAATTTTGCATCTTTAAGTCTTGGTTAGGTTCTTTGTTTGGGCCAGTGTCCCCCATTGAGTTTTTCAATGACCTCCATAGCAAAAAAAAAAAAAAAAAAAATGAAATCCCCTGGCACTATGAGATAATCACAGTGCCATGCTCAAAATACTAAGTACTTCAGTGTTTGTCCCGATAGTCTACACCCAAGCCACAAGCAATCCCTTCCAACATTTACTTCCTGCGTCGAACAGCCATTTTTATTTTGCGTCCAGCAATTGAATTCTGTCCAGATGGTGTTGGTGTGAAAGGACTCTTTCCTGACCTGTTAGGGTGAAAGGTCACACAGTTAGACTCGGTTCTCTGTTAGTAACAAATGCATTTTATAGATATTAAATCAATTTTAAAATAAAGCTGTAGTGCGTAGTTTTTCCTCTTTGTCGCCATCTCTGTTCAAAATCTGCAATTGCAGTTATTCGCGGGATTATAAGCTTTACGTGGGTTGTGCCTCGGTGCGGCTGTCAGTCGGTGTGGATACAGGCATTCCGAATCACAGATTACACTTTTTGGAAGTATGACCAACACAGAAATTTTCACTGGTAAATGCCTGAACAAGTAACATCCTATTTTGTTCTGACCAACTAAGGGGAAAAAGCAGTAGATCGTAAATCGCGCAGATTAAATCTCACATCAAACTGTGCAAATTATACTTTGTTCTCAAATTGTTAATGTTAACAACATCAGCATTGCGTGACGACATTTAATACTCTTCCGATATTATCCTTGTTTTCGCATGGGCCGGTTGCAGTCTCTCGGCATACGCTAATAACTTTTCATATACGATCTACTTTCTACATATGACAGCTCTATCTAATAACGTATTGACAGGACTGTTAGAAGGACCGTAAACTAATGAACAAGGAGAACGTGAGCACTGTGAGCTCTCAGCGCCGACAAAATAAGTCACAAGCACGGCACATGGCACTTCAGAGTTCCTACTGGTGGTTCGAATGAAATAAATAATTAGTTGTAGCCTGCACATAATATGAAAGTAGGTTCAACTTTATTTTGATGGTCCACTTTAGACATTCTACAAACTTGTAAGTAACTTCGCAACTACCTCTCAGAGTATTAAGCCCGGCCGGAACACACCAACTGTCAGCTATAATGTGCATTCTGCGCCTGCGTGTAATGAGCCAACTGTCTATTTCTGCAGATATATTAGTCTATACTCTACACTCACCGGCCACTTTATTAGGTACCCCATGCTAGTAACAGGTTGGACCCCCTTTTGCCTTCAGAACTGCCTCAATTCTTCGTGGCATAGATTCAACAAGGTGCTGGAAGCATTCCTCAGGGAGTTTGGTCCATATTGACATGATGGCATCACACAGTTGCCGCAGATTTGTCGGCTGCACATCCATGATGCGAATCTCCCGTTCCACCACATCCCAAAGATGCTCTATTGGATTGAGATCTGGTGACTGTGGAGGCCATTTGAGTACAGCGAACTCATTGTCATGTTCAAGAAACCAGTCTGAGATGATTCCAGCTTTATGACATGGCGCATTATCCTGCTGAAAGTAGCCATCAGAAGTTGGGTACATTGTGGTCATAAAGGGATGGACATGGTCAGCAACAATACTCAAGTAGGCTGTGGCGTTGCAACGATGCTCAATTGGTACCAAGGGGCCCAAAGAGTGCCAAGAAAATATTCCCCACACCATGACACCACCACCACCAGCCTGAACCGTTGATACAAGGCAGGATGGATCCATGCTTTCATGTTGTAGACGCCAAATTCTGACCCTACCATCCGAATGTCGCAGCAGAAATCGAGACTCATCAGACCAGGCAACGTTTTTCCAATCTTCTATTGTCCAATTTCAATGAGCTTGTGCAAATTGTAGCCTCAGTTTCCTGTTCTTAGCTGAAAGGAGTGGCACCCGGTGTGGTCTTCTGCTGCTGTAGCCCATCTGCCTCAAAGTTCGACGTACTGTGCGTTCAGAGATGCTCTTCTGCCCACCTTGGTTGTAACGGGTGGTTATTTGAGTCACTGTTGCCCTTCTATCAGCTCGAACCATTCTGGCCATTCTCCTCTGACCTCTGGCATCAACAAGGCATTTCCGCCCACAGAACTGCCGCTCACTGGATGTTTTTTCTTTTTCGGACCATTCTCTGTAAACCCTAGAGATGGTTGTGCGTGAAAATCCCAGTAGATTAGCAGTTTCTGAAATATTCAGACCAGCCCTTCTGGCACCAACAATCATGCCACGTTCAAAGTCACTCAAATCACCTTTCTTCCCCATACTGATGCTCGGTTTGAACTGCAGGAGATTGTCTTGACCATGTCTACATGCCTAAATGCACTGAGTTGCCGCCATGTGATTGGCTGCTTAGAAATTAAGTGTTAACGAGCAGTTGGACAGGTGTACCTAATAAAGTGGCCGGTGAGTGTATATTATACTATATACACTGACGTTTGCCGCCGGCTCTGATCTCTTTAATCTAGTGGATAAACCTTGACGTATAACTCGTCTTGTGTATAAGTCTATCTTTGGTCTCATTAAACTATAATTTGTTCCATGGCGCAAAAAAAAAGAAAAAAAAAATAGTTTAAGGTTTCATGGCTATTTTTTTTATATTGTCTTCACTATATGAACAATAAAATAAAATGACATAACCCTGTCTCTGTTTGATACATGTCAATAAAAATCCAATGTTTCATATTTTTAAAATGAAAACAAAAAGATCATGTTCATTTTGTTATAAATATATGCAGTGAAAAGAATCACGTTGCCTGAACCACATGGCCATTAGGCTATTATAGGCTATGTTGTTTTTTGTTAATGAAGAGTCAGAGGGGTGTTTTATAACATATTTCGTCTTATTGTTGACGAAAAGATGCAGAGTTGTAGCAAATTTCGTTTTATTGTTGCCTAAAATATAGAGTAGAGCGTGCTGAGTGACGCGTACACTCAGTTCCATTTGCAGAAGAACCGGACTTGCGTCCTTGCATCCTCGGGAGTTCGTTCTCCGGAGTCGAACTTGCAAGTCTGAACTACCAAGGACGCAAGTCCGAAGTCTGCGTACTTGGTATTGAGAAACGGCCTTAGTCATTCAAAAAGGAAAACCGACGCTGCGGGTTGCAGATACACATAACGTAAACAAAGCAGCGTGTGCTTACCGAGTTGAATATCAATCCTGCTAAACGCTTTCTTTATTCCAATCCGCTCATGTTAATACTGAAAAATTCGCCAAGGAACACTCAGGTAAGAAGACGTAAAATAAGAACAGCCTATCTTTACCGTTTTGACTTCTTTGCTTGCGGTTTTGCTTTTATTCTCGTGCACTGACTCTTTCACTAAGCTGAAAAGCCAATCAGAGTTCTCTTTCCCCGACGCCCTGACGCAGATTCAACATGTCGAATTGGGTGAAACAAAGCCGACGAGGAATATTTTCAGCTGACGGCACGGAACACAGAGGAAACTTAACCGGCCGACGCGCAAAAACTTCCCGACGGCCGACCGTCGGCTTGGTGTGTTCCGGGTTTTAGAAGACCGTTGACTGGGGTGTAATGATACACACAACTGACGGCTCGGTTTTCTCACAGAGTTAATTTATAGGAACCAAATTTGTGCATTTATAGGAACCAAATTTGTGAAGACTGAATCACTTGCCTGTTGAGGTAATTATAATGCTAGTGACAAGCTATGCTGTTTTATTGACGTCTTTCCGCTGCTGAAACACTGATAGAGCGATTACACGAGTTAAGATGCCTTTCAATAAGTATATTGTATCTTATCTTATATCTTTCAACATACCTTCAGGTGTCCATCCTGTAACTGAGAAAGAGAGGATCACGTTTACTCGCGCGCCACGCTGCCGCTTGAAATGAGGAGCCTAGTAGGCCTACAGCGATCGGTCACGCCACATCAAAGAGCGCCAAAACGCCATTTATTGTTTGCATTTCGTGAGCATATAGACAGAATTTGAAAGATTAGACCTAGCTTATTATCGAAAGTAACAAAACACGGAGCTTGTTATTTGGTGTTAATAGTGGTTAGGCTACAAAATTGAATTCGTTGTGTACTGTACATGTAAGACATGAGGTCCATTGAGCCGGGCGGGGCCGGGGTAGCAGTGGGCGGGGCGGTGCATGTTCGGTACGCAATGAGAGTATCGCAATTCGATTTGAGAGTTCTGCATCTCGTTTTTTCGGTTCGGATCAAATATTGTTACAACCCTACTGTTGACTTATAGTCAGTAGAATCTGTTGGGGAGCATTGAAATAAAGTGTTAGCAGATATTAAGGATACAGTCTACTAAATAATCTAATGACTGTTAGTTGACATGTAGTTGCAAAGTTACTTCTAGTTAGTAGAATGTCTTGGCACATACGGTGCGAGTTTTGCTGTTTTACAAGCTCGCAGATGAGCGCGTGGAAATCTGTGATGCTCGCATGGTCATCTCTCGATAATTTTTAAACATGTTTTAAAAATCTAGGGAGTCGGCACCATTTTTCAGTGCATAGGCTGTCCCCTATTGCCAAATCACACACAACCACGTCACAGGCTAGACCGATGGGACTATAGCTCAGTGGTAGCAACCATACAGTGTGCACATACAGTCTCATAGACACAAATTTCTGTCTCACTCTCTCTCAAGAGTAGTTACACGTATTATCAGTAGGGATGTCAACGATTAATCGACGATCGATTAATTGTCGATAATACATTTATCGGTAAAACTTATCGATCATCGATTAAGCATGCGCGTGCCTGTTCATGTGCGCATGCTGCTCAACGCGAAAGATGTAAGCGAGCACGCCGGAGTTATGTTTGGGACTATTTTACACCTTCATCATGACAATAAGTTGGCGTGTGCATTCGCAGCCTTTCGTTTTGTGCAAATGTGAGTTGTAATAGTTTATTTTGTGTACGCCTATCTATATCTGCTTTATCATCTCATATTGGATGTATTTGGTTAAGAATTGACGCTAATAAAGCAAGATGATCTTTGTGCGCGCTGCTCAAACGTCGATGTACGACTAATAATGACTATTGGGACTGTCATATTACATAAGATTATAAAGATAACAATATTGTAATAAAACATTGTGAATTATTTGGGTTGAGTTGCCGTGTCGCGTTGTTCCAGGAAGAGCACGCGCTCTTCCACAACATGAGTCATCTGAATGGCACATAAACAAGTTGACTTGTGCATTCACCTCATTTTGTGCAGATATAAACTGTAATGTTTATTTTTGTATATATCTGATTAATATCAAATAGGATGCGTTTCTTTGAGTTAAATAACGCACTATTAAAGTGCTCAATGGTTATGCATACAGCGCGCGCCGCTCAAGCAGAATGCACGACTAATAATAACGATGGTTAATTTGGGACTGTCATATTACATTCGTTGTGAAATCATTGGGTTTAGTTGCCGTTTTCAGTGCGTTGTCTCAGGAAGAGCACGTCCACAACAGTCACCCATTCTGACAAGTGCAACTGAGGCGGTTGGTGACACGTTAAATAGTCGTTCTATTTGATTATTAAACAATTAACTTGATTACAAAAATCACATCGAAAAAAATTACAATCCCACTAGCCCACTTTATTTAGATTAAAAAACATTCTCATTAATTTGGTGAGGAACATAGCGTTTTGAGCAGCATTTGCAGACCCTGTTCTGCTGTTATGCCATATGACACTGCAGCGACGCACATTAAGGGTAACGATTAATCGATTAATTGATCGTTAATTTGAACGACGATCGATCATGGGAATTTGTGAAAATTGACATCCCTAATTATCAGCAAACAAAAAATGCTATTTTATTTTAAATATGGGGTGTTAAAAAAGCAATTGTTACTGTTAATGAATCTGGTGGTTTGATTTTTCACTGGTCATTTTTTTCCTTTTTTTGGTTGCTGTTTGTTTTTTGGTTGTATTTTCTACAAATTGAAGGAAAAAAAGGAAAAGGTGTTTTGAGTATAATGCTTTTAAAATGAAAGCATTTGAAAGTCAAGTATCTCTCTCTCTGTCTCATGTTGAAAGTTCTCTGCTTTACAATAAATCATTTGTACACACATTTGTTCTATCTGAAGCTATAGTTGCTTCAGATCTCCGGTCTCTGTGTTTAGTGCGAAAGCTCTCGTGATTGCCGCCAGGTCGGGATTAAACTCGTGCAGGACAGTCGTTCCGTGTACCAGCTGCTTACGCGATTATCAAGTTAAATGACGTGTATCGCATGCAACCGCCCGAGTGTCTGAACTCACACCGTGTACGCTCTTCTTAATGTGGAAAATCAAATAAAGCATTACCGAAATGTAATATGATTTACTGTTTTCAGTAGCGTTAGTTTGAGCACAATTTTTTCTTTTCTTACCCAATGTTAAAAGCAGGTGTCTGGCCGAAGCTGAAGCCTCCGCCGGGGGGGTTTAACGCCGGCATTGCTGGACTGGCAGCAGGAGTTGCTGGAGCTGCTGCCCCCCCAAAACCAAACACATTACTGTTGCTCCCCGTTGTTCCAAACCCACCAGTGCTGCCAAACTGGAACCCTCCTGCAAATATAACATGGAGTAACCGTTATGACGATGCACACAAATAAATTGGTTGCATGCATGTAGGTCCATTGCACCCTCAAAAATTTTAACTTGTAAATGATATCCGATGCTGCTTTCCCATGCAATGAATGTGAACTGTTTTCACAGCTGACATTGGTAGTAAAATGGTAAATGGACTGCATTTATATAGCACTTTCATAGACCTAATGGCC